TAGAGAAATTACAATAAAAGGGACATTTAGATATTGTAATACGTATAAGAAAGCAATCGATATGGTAACAGCTGGATTGATCGATTTGAAACCTTTGATTACTCATCGATTCAAATTTGAGGACGCATTGAAAGCTTTCGAAATTGTCAGAGATGGTAAATATGGTGTAATTAAAGCATTAATTTTGGGGAAGGAATGATGATAATAATAATAATAGTATGTGTGTGTGTGTGGTACGTTAGTGAATAATTAGAAAGAAAATAATTATTTATTGTTTATAAACAAAGAAAAAAGGTACAAATAAAAATGCAAAAACGCAAAAATAAAAATAAAAGGGTTCTAATTAATGATGACATATCACGTTGTAGAGATGTTATTGGCTATTATAAAAGCATCTGTTACACTAATACTATGTGCAACACAAACATCTTTGAAAAAAAAAAATAGAATGAAAATGAATTAGCTTTTGGGAATATGCCACGATCACGTTACGAGAATATTTTATATAGTTGAAAAAATCTCCATTAAAATTTCAACCTGGGCATCACCCAGGGTTGACGTTTGTGATGTATTTTTACATCCTTCGCGTTTAACTTTATTTTTTAAAAAAAATCACTTCCCCAATTTAACGAGTATTTTTATTAAAGAATAATTTTATAAAAAAAAAAAGTAATTAAAAAAAAATTTTTTTAGAATTAATTTAAAGAAGAGAGGTAATTAAAGTTTTTTTTACGCGTAAAAACTCGAATGGTTGAATTAACTCCCCCCAACAATACGTTACACATACACGCCATATTGCAACATAACATAATATTAATATTAAATGCGGAGGAAAAAAACAACTTTATGATTATGCAATTTTTTGTTTTTATTTACTAAACGTAGAAGAGTATATATATATATATGTACAAAAAAATATTTCACGTGCATTTTTAATAGTACAAAATCGAGAAAACAACAAATAAAGTATGTAATGAATTACATAATAAGACAGTTAATTTTTTATTATATTACATCATCTTGACAATAAAATAAATAAATAGTGCACATTATTTGATAATTTACCAAAACATAAACCATTGACCCAAAAATTGCGATCTAGATTTTTAGATAAATAAATGACGTGGTCTAGGCGTCTGATTTATTATTTTGGTTATTTTCAATCTTTACACCATCATCGTTAATATATATAAATATAGATAATAATAAAATGTTTCAAATATATATTTATATATATATACATATATATTTTAAATCAGAGAGCAGGGCATGATACTCGAATTAACCAGAAAAGACCCGGATTTTACTTATCAGCCGAATATGTGTGTTTAATTTGAAATAGTATGAAAGTGATTGATGATAGGTCGCTTATTAGTTAGATTTTTTAAAGAAACAGACAACATGAGTGTGAGGAAAGATAACTGGGGGAAGGATGATTGGATGAGGGGAGAAAGAATAAATCACACATAAATCACGAGATGACAAACTTGCTTTAGTCTTGTAGAAAGTCTTTACCATGATTGCAAGTAAATTAAATTATCATTCAATACTTTTAGAACCAATCCAAATTCTTCATTTATAATAAAAGTTTTTATTTTTATTGTTTGTTTGATTATGAAAAAATTATTAAGGAATTGATAATAATAAGGGGAAAAAGATTTCAGGTGAACATTTATGAATTAAAAACAAAATCTTTGTCACATTAATCATATTGGTGATACATTTACTCAATTATAATATTATATATATAATTCTACAGAACCAATCATGTCATGTCAATTCATTATTATTATCATTCTGGCAGAAAAAAAA